TGTTTTTGCAGAGATCACAAATGTCCACAGGGACTTGGGGGATAGAACAAGTGAGGGAATTGGTCCAGGCCATTTGGAGAGTTTTGTCCCCACTAAAGGGGGAACACCCCACTGTCCCAGCTGGTTGTAGCCACATGGGATGAGGGATAATGCTGCCCAACCTTCCCATCTCCTTAGAGAAGCCAGAAATATCATCTTGGGGGCGGTGTGTGGACTCTCCACATTAAAAAATATTGGCAGCTAATTTGAGTTTTGTAAAAATGTAGTAGTGGGGATGGTTATGGCTCTGGGCATGTGCACCCCAGTGACACAAAAACGCCACCTCTGGGTTTTCTATTCACTTTTCCTAGTGAGCCAGAAGTACAATAAAGGGGCTCCATTTCTTCATACTATTTTCATTTGACATAATCCCAGAATTTTTAAAAAAGTTCTAGAGAGCGATTTCTGGTGGGAAGTCAGGGCATCAAGCATGTTTGGACGCTAGATTCCAAGCCCTGATCTGACTAGTGGCTCTTACTATCGTAGACTCTGGCTGTGACTGCCAGGCCGCCTGCCTTGTTAACCCAGAAGTCTTTCCCTGGCACATTAGAGAAGGCAAGACCACCTGTGACCAACAGAAGGGAGGGCGTAGGACCCAGATTGTATGAAATCGCACGAGGAGATGATTTATTCATGGCACACTCCCAGGACCCGCCTCTAGACCAAGGCAGAGAGGTGTGGGAGAGTGAGAGGGGGCTGAAGAAACTCTGCCCTGCGGAAGGGATGGAGAAGCCGGGATTTGCATGGTTCCTCTCTGGGAGATGGTGTTGGTGGGGATGAGGGAGTGGTGAGGAACAGAGGGGATTATGAAAGGACCCCAAAACTGAGGCTGTAGTGACCTGCCTGTTAAGCCAGTCCATTCTTCAAAGCACAGCCCCCGCCAACCTCCTCTAGGAAGCCTTCCCTGCCAGCCTATGCTTGAGTCTCTATCTCCCCAGACACCTGGAGCACAGATGGTCTCTCTGGTTTCACCTGGCCTGGGTTCCTCTGAGACCTCGCCCAGCTGTTGCGTGGTGCTCACTTATTCACGCACTTACCCGATCTTCAGTGAGCAGCTACCGTGTCCCAGGCAGTTCTAAGTGCTGGGGAACACGTCAGTGAGCTTGCTTTCCCGACACTTAAATTCCCCACGTATGCCCATGTGCATGTGCATGTGCGTGTGTGTGTGCGGTGCAGGGTCAGCATGGCCAGGAAGTAACCATGTGTTGGAAGGTGAAAACTGAGGAAACCGTGGAGCAGGCTGAGCGGTTCCGCATCGAGAGGCAGGCATGACATTTTAGACAGAGGCTTTATCGAGCTGGTGGCATTTAAACAAAGACTTGATGGGTGTTCTTTTTTATTTAGTGCCTTGCATTCCTACTAATAGTTTGGAATACATTTTTTCTCCATAACTTTTTTTCTTAAAATAGATTTACTCATTTATTCAACAAATATTCGTGGAGGATCTGTTTGACTTCTCGTCATCCGTTGGGTCTCAGCTCAAATGTCAAGTCCTAACAAGGGCATTCCCTGCACATACGTTCCTTGTCCCCTGCTGAAATTCATATTCCATTTTAAAGTGAAAAAAAAAAATAGGGCCCGTTTTAAATAGTAATTAAAATTTTTGAACACTGAAAAGTTTTATTTAACCTTTAAAAAAAAATCTAAGTCTTCTACTTTATTTTTATTGTAGCATCTGTCATTCCACAGGCTTAGGTAGGACAGGGAACTTGTCTGTTTTGTCTACCAGTGAGTTTTCCACGCCCAGCACACAACAGGTGCTGATTAATTGGCCCTGGCCAGGTGACTGCCACACACTGTACTGGCTCTGGTGCCACTCCAGGTTTGGGCCTTTGAAGACCTTACTTTCCGGTAGTGGAGACTGTCTTCTCTAAGCAGAGTGTATGCTAGCCAGGCAAAAGAATATGGCTCAGGACTCTGTTGACTGGTGGCTTCTCACCTCCCAGGATGCAAACGACACCCTCAGGGTTTTGCAGGGTGTTCTGTTGGCCCTTTTGTGTACATCCAATGAATTGAACCAATACTGAGTGAACTCCTACAATTTTCCAGGCGCCAGGCCAGTGCTACAGCCAGGGCAGTGACAATACACACACACCTTTGTCCTCTCAGAGTCCACAGTCAGAGTGGGGAGTTGCACATTATGTGCAGGCCCTACCCTGGAACGTTTGTCCATGTAATCATCGCTTGGTGTTTACCGTGCTTTTCAGCCATTAAAGAAAAGTTAATGCCCAGGAAAAGAGCCATAAGAAAAAACAAAACAAAAATCACCCAAGGCAGTGACAGCTTTTCTCATCCCATTTCTAGAAATAACCCATGACGGGGGAGCCTGGTGGCCAGAACCATCTAGAACTTGGTGGGGAAGGAAAATCAATCTTTGCAAATGATGCAGCTTACTGAGAGCAGTTCAGGCTTCGGAACTCTCTGCCCTGTCTCCCTTTATTTCTTCTTCCCTGTCTCCTCCATCCCCTTCCTGTAGAACAACCATTACGTCATCCTGCCAGAGATGCGGAACAGTGGCTGGGTGAGGTCTCAAGGTGTGAGCTGCTGGCGTGGGGCCCTGTCCCTCCTTCCTGCCCTGCCCTTTCCTCCTCCTCCTGACGCATCTGAGCTGCGGCCACACTGCACTCAGAAGCTGTCTCAGCCCTTCCCCGGGGGTCCCAGGGGTCCTAGGTCCCAGAGAGGAGACTTGGCTTCTATTAAAGCTTCTCCATGGGGAAGCAGGTGTTCTGGGAAGCAGATCTTTTTGGAAGAGGTGGTGTGCTCTACCTGGAGGGGATAAGCGGCCCAGTGGTGTCGCCACCCCATGCATGAGCCTTACCAGCACACACACACACACACACACACACACACACCACCCCCAGGGGAATGGCCATGCCACAATCCCTTCTCCTCCATTCTTCTCCTGGGATCTTGGGTACACACACACACACACACACACACACATATACACATCGCCCCCAGGGGGATGGCCATGACACAGTCCCTTCTCCTCCATCCTCCTCCTGAGACCTTGGGCACACACACACACACACACACATGCACACTGGCACTTCTCCATCCCAGGAAAAATGCCCGTTGACTCTCTTCTGGCTGAAACACTGATCTGGCTGCTCAACGTGGTTGTAACTATGAAATTGAGGGAATCATGAAACACTTTCATAAATTTGAAAGGTTTATCAAGAAGAGATTGGAGGGGACCAGCGGATGGTGTAACGGTTTAAATCCTGGACCTGGCAGCTTACACCTCACACCAGGCACATGCGTGTGCATGCCCAATATCCCAGGAAGAGAATGGAGAAGGGATTGTGGCATGGCCATCACCCTAGGTAGGGTCAGGGGGTGATTTCTCACTTTCTGTCTCTCTGTCTCTTTCTGGAGAGTGCATGCATCCTATAGCAAACATCTCTCAAAAAAGAAAAAAGGAAGAGATCGGGAGTGTGTGTGAACCCATCTCTCCAGACATGGACCTCTGGCATTCATACAAGGTGTCTTCAGACAGTTCATGAGAAATGCATATTATGAAAAAATGATGCATGGATTTAAAAGAAATCGAACCAAAATAAATTCATACTTCAATTTCACTCTGAAGTCCCCTGTTGTAAGGAAAGCGTACAGCTGCGGCTTCCCTCCACCCATTCTTAGGAGTCCGCCATGTCTGGGAGCTGTCCGTGGTGGGAATTCCACAGGTGAGCCACAGGCCCCTGGTCCTGCCTCAGCATGCCTTCCTCTGAGGCTGAGGGTTGTGGGAACAGATGGTGGACCTTGTTCGGATCTCCGAGTGCTCCTAAGCTCATGTTGGTTCAGGCAGGTCCCTTGGCAGAGAGGGAACAAGCTGGTCTGTGTGACAGGGGCTTCGGGGGCTTGTGGATCAGTCTCTCAGTTGTCACCGCCCTTAGATCGGGTAAGGGTCGAGTCAGGGAGTTGGAAACAGGCCTGGGAGCCGACAGCACGCTCAGTCCTCTGATGGTGGCTTTTGGTTTAACTCTGTTCAGCAACTTCCTTGTCAATAAATAGTCTCCAATCTGCGAGGACTTCCTGTGTATAAAAATGTGAGTGGCATGTTTTTTTTTTTATGTGCCTTGTCCAGCTTCTGCCCGTGCCCCCCAAACACAAACAGTGTGTCACCCCAGGAGTGCAGGCAGATGGGAACTTCTTAGGTTGCATGGAATCCAATTTCAGGCTGACAGAGAGAAGCATCAGCTCTCGCCATCCCATGCCACCCAGTTTATGCAGAACACTGTGCCGGCCACGAAGTCCTTCCTCACTCCTGTTCTCACTAAGTCCCCACTGTTCTCCATAACTGCTTTGTCTTACTGTTGTTCACAGAGTCTCACATGTTGCGATCCTCCTGCCTCAGCTTCCTAAGTAGCTACAACACATGCTTGGCTTTTAAGGTTGGGCCTGGAATTGAACCCGGACCTCACATGTGTCCTAGCGCTGTGAAGCAGCAGCATCAACCGGGAGGCGCTGCCACAGGTGGCCCTTCCCCCACATCTTAGAGCTCAGAGAGTTTGAATCACGGGTGCATAGGCACAGCTAGGTAGAAGTCTGACTAGCCAGGGTCCAGGGCATGCCTCGGGACTGGAGTAAAGGTGACACTACATGGAGTGGCTCTGGGACACCTCCCATGTGTGGTGCTTGGACGGTGGCATGTACAGGCACGGGGGAGGAGACACATGAGCAGGGGGCTCGAGGTGGACACTGTCCTCTGCACTCCCTCACTGGGGAGCAGGCTGCTTCCCACAGAGCCTGCAGATGGACCGCCAGCCCGCTCTGAGCGGTGGCCGTGAACGGGCAGCCTGAGAATTAGGCTCTGTCGACACTGCCTTGTACTTGGCTGAACCTGGCAATCCCCCTTCTGGGTGACGGAGGGGAATGCGGCAATTTATCGCATTCTTGATGTTCTACTGAAGTCTCAGTTTTATCAGTAAGTTGAACTTTCACATGCATTTGTCTTCCAGAACAAATGGCTCCTTCTACGAGATCCTGCAAGTAGACTTCGGAGTTGACAACAGCAGTGGCCTGGCGGGGGCCCAGCAGATCACCTGGCAGGTGGAGTACCCGGCGGAGGACACCATGAGCGAGCTGGTCGTCTCCGAGATCTTTGTTAGCCAGACCACCTTCGTGGGCATCGTCCCTCTGGCAATGGTGAGGAATTGGGCCTTCAGAATAAGTGTCCTCAAGAAGTTCCTTTGAATACTTTCCTATTCAAAGAAACATGAGACACCGGGTGGTCTGTTACTTCCTGTGCACCTGATACGCATCATTTAAACAAGGAAGATACACTTACAGTGCATTTTATCCGCCTGCTTCCCGTAACGGCTCCTTGGAAACCACTCAGGTCTGTTGTGGAAATCCCTCTTCATGGGGGGATGCTGCGGCCCGGTTTCCTGGGAGCCCTGTCCTTGACTGTGTCACTCTGCGTGGCAGGATCAAGAGCTAGTCTGAGTGAAGACGGTCTTACTGAGCAGGGTCGGGCATGCGGGGGGACTGCGGCTCTCCATGCTGACCACCCAGCCCCTGTCAACTGCTCTGACCTGAGAGTCTCGGGGTGGCTCAGGGACTGGTGAACTTTAAAATGCAGACAGGGGGCTAGCAGATGGCATAATGGTTATGTCACTAGATTCCCACATAATCCACCACAGACCCAGCAGCTTGAAGTTTACACCAGGTTCATGTGGGTGTATCTATCCATCCATTCATCCCTCCATTCCTCCAACCCTCCCTCCCTCCATCCATCCCTTTACCTACCCTTCTATTTATCCATCCATCCATCCATCCCTTACCTACCCTTCCATGTACCCATCCATCCATCCCTCACCTACCCTTCCATGTACCCATCCATCCATCCCTCACCTACCCTTCCATGTACCCATCCATCCATCCCTCATCTACCCTTCCATGTACCCATCCATCCATCACTTTACCTACCCTTCCATGTACCCATCCATCCATCCATCCCTTATCTACCCTTCCATGTACCCATCCATCCATCCCTGATCTACCCTTCCATGTACCCATCCATCCATCCCTCACCTACCCTTCCATGTACCCATCCATCCATCCCTTACCTACCCTTCCATGTACCCATCCATCCATCCCTCACCTACCCTTCCATGTACCCATCCATCCATCCATCCCTTATCTACCCTTCCATGTACCCATCCATCCATCCCTCACCTACCCTTCCATGTACCCATCCATCCATCCCTCACCTACCCTTCCATGTACCCATCCATCCATCCCTGATCTACCCTTCCATGTACCCATCCATCCATCACTTTACCTACCCTTCCATGTACCCATCCATCCATCCCTTATCTACCCTTCCATGTACCCATCCATCCATCCCTTACCTACCCTTCCATGTACCCATCCATCCATCCCTTACCTACCCTTCCATTTATTCCTCCTCTCTCCCTCCCTTCACCCATCTGCCCGCCTCCCCACCCCCTTCATCTGCTAATCACTATACAACAATAATTTATTCAGCATACATTATATGCTGAATTCATCACTTTTTAATGAATGGAAAGAGAGAAAAGAGAATGGATGAGAATTATAGAGTTGGAATCACTAGGCCTTAGAAACCATAAATATTTCAGTTTATAGCAGAGCAGCACTGATGATCAAGACTTTTAAAAATCCCTTTTTAAAATGGGTGGTCTGAAGAGGCGTGTCACAAGCAGGAGAATAGTGATGCTTTCTGCATCGTCTTTGAAATCTCTGGTCCTCGTGCTGCCCTCTCCACGGCTGGGAAATGCCGACTGATGCCTCTTTCTCTTCTCTCTTTTCGTCCCCTCTCAAAAAGCACGTGTCTTCGTTTTACCCTCTGAGTGTCCTGCTCTTAGGCGTTCTGTCCAATTACTGAGCTTGGTGAGTTTATTTCCATGGGTGCCCTGGAGGTAAGGGCTACAGCTCACCATGCTGCTCCAGATCTGAAAGCGAAAGCGCTCAGCTCTGAACATGCAGATCAGAAACACGTTCTCTCTTGAAAAAGCCCTTGAATCACAAAATGAACACACCTGGTGAGTCTCTAGGCAACAGGAAGCGTGTCTGCACACAGGCTGGAGCAAGAGAGAATCAGAGTTCTGATCAGTCGTCCTGGCCCGAGACCTTATAAGGCCTGGCACTCACGCTTCTTTATGGGGTTAGAACGCAGCGGTCTAGGGGGCCTTCTTTCCGCCGGCCTCTGTGGTTGAGGTGTGTGGACTCACTGAGCACGGGCAGCAAGCCTGTGGGTACACACTACTACCTAGTTTGCTAGATGAGGAAACCGAGGAGTAGAGAATAAGTAACCTGCGGAACTGAGTCCCCGGAGAAGCCATGGGGCTGGGTTTCACACTGAGGCTGTCGGCTCCAGGGTCTTTGACCCCACCAGTACCCAAGGCTCTCAGTTCTTCATGTCCTGGAGCCTTTGGCAGTCTGGAATATT